AACCCCATCCCTCCCCACTCCGAACACATATGTCAGCTTCTTGCCCCACCTGCTCGCCCATCCACCACATTACAGGAGAGTGCATGCATGGATGGAACAACAAGGTGACATACTTTTGAGACGTCTCAAAACCCACCTGCGCGCCATCCACCTCATTACAGGAGAATGCATGCATAGAGCAACAAGGTGTCTTCAAATTATAACTCAAAAATCATGTACGTCAGCTTCTTGCCCCACCTGCCTGCCCATCCACCCACCACATTACACGAGAGTGCATGCATGGAACAACAAGGTGACATTTAATTTGACTAAAAATCACGTACGTACGTCAGCTTCTTGCCCCACCTGCTCGCCCAGGCACAGTAGACGATAGAAAGAGTCACAGCATTCAATTGCAGGTGATATCTGCTCTGCAATGCTGCATGCATGCATGCATGCATGCATGCATCTATAGCAAACTGTGTCTGCAAACAGTGCTGAGTTGACTTTTGAATCGACTCAAAAGTCAACTCCATAGCAAACTGTTTCTGCAAACAGCACAGGCTGGACAAGACAACTTTTGAGGTGCCTCAAAAGTAGATCCGATTGCAGGTGCTATCTGCTCTGCAGTGCTGCATCCATCCATCCATCCATCCATCCATCCATCCATCCATCCATCCATCCATCCATCCATCCATCCATCCATCCATCCATCCATCCATCCATCCATCCATCCATCCATCCATCCATCCATCCATCCATCCATCCATCCATCCATCCATCCATCCATCCATCCATCCATCCATAGCAAACTGTGTCTGCAAAGAGCACTGAGACTGGACACGACAACTTTTGAGGTGCCTCAAAAGTAGATCCGATGGCAGGTGCTATCTGCTCTGCTCTGCAGTGCTGCATCCATCCATCCATCCATCCATAGCAAACTGTGTCTGCAGACAGCACTGAGACTGGACATGACAAATGGGTGCATCCAACCCTTTCTTTTAACTTATATGGCGTGGTTTGATAAACCAGTGACCTACAAGCAGGGATGTCGACATAGTAAATGAATGTTTTTCAAATATCACGGATCTGTGGCGCAATGGTAGCGCGTCTGACTCCAGATCAGAAGGTTGCGTGTTCGATTCACGTCAGGTTCAAAGCCTGCTTTTTCCTTCTCCCAACGGCCTATTCTCTCCAAGTCGGCAGCTGTGTCAACCAGGTATGTGTCTTGTGTTCATGCGCTGTGATGTTCGGTTCTTGAGGCGCCTCAAAAAGGCGATTTTTCTAGGCGCCTCAAAAAGGTTTGTGCCTTCTGTTCACGCACTGTGATGCACTGTGACGCACAGTGATGCACTGTGATCCAACAGCTTGGAGAGAAAAAAACCTGGTCGACAGACACTGTGATGTGCAGTTCTCGTTTTGTGCAACGCGAGAGTCGCAAAGCTTTATGGCTGGAACCAGGTCAGCCTCAAAGACTCTTCTGGTCCAGGAGTCTGGACCAATGCAAGCCACGAGGAGACTTTTGAGTCGACTCAAAAGTCACTTGGTCAGCCTCAAAGACTCTTTTGGTCCAGGAGTCTGGACCAATGCAAGCCACGAGGAGACTTTTGAGTCGACTCAAAAGTCACTTGGTCAGCCTCGAAGACTAATTATGGTCCAGGAGTCTGGACCAATGCAAGCCACGGAAGTTACCACTCGTTACGAAAACCCGCGCTCACATTCAGTTTCCCACAATGATAGCCGGACCCTGGCGAGAGGACGAGGGGTGGCGAATCCACCAGCCATTTCGTGCGACGCTTTTTTATTCGACGAAAGGATATGCGAACGAAGTCGCCCTACCTCTGCTTTCACCCAATCGCATTGCACCGCCGTAAAACAACAAATGGTGATCACCTTAGCCTTGCCCAGGAATTCATATCAAGCGGCAAACCACTCCACAAAACCATCCCCACCTAGCGCTAGCCATTCCCACCCCACCCCACCCCACCCCACCCCACCCAAACCCCCATGCAACCACTCTCCACCCACCCTTTCTCATAGAGCAGAGGCGTGTCAAAGGCCGCTTCACACGGGTCCAGATGCATCCACCTGCAGGGGAGGGACAGGGGGAACGTGGGGGGGTTGGGGTGGGAAGGAAGATGCAGGAGCGCAGACATCGGAAGCAGAGGAGAGTGAGCTGACAATAGGCATCCCCACCCATCCTCGCTCATAGAGCAGTGGCGTGTCAAAGGCTGCTTCACAAGGGTCCAGATGCATCCACCTGAAGGGAGGGAGACAGGGGGGAGGGATGGCAAGAAAGGCGTATCCTTCACTCAGAAACGGTGCCCAGCAGTGTGCCAAGTAACGTGTCTTGAAATGACGCCTCAGAAGAGGCGTGTCAGAGGCTGCTTCACACGGGTCCAGATGCATCCACCTGCAGGGGGGGGGGAGGCCGGGGGGGATGGGGGCGAGGAAGGTGTGTCCTTCGCTCATAGTACAAGGGCAGCAGTGTGAGTAGTAGCGTGTCAAAGGCTGCTTCACACGGGTCCAGATGCATCCACCTGCAGAGAGGGGGGACCCGGGGGAAAGGAAGACAAGGCAAGTTGTTGGGTCATAGTAGAAACGCTGTAGATGCATCTGATGGGTAGGTGTCTGGTGGACCATGTGGATCAAAGATGACTGGTGGACCATGGTGCTATTTTTGATCCATAGCAACATGGTCCACCAGACATCTTTCGAGGGGGCTCAAAAGGAACACCGCCGACCCCCAACCCCGCTGGAAAGCCACTCTGCCGAGGATTCGTCATCACGACGACCAACATAGCATGCACCTCTGCTTGGCGTAAGATGGGCTCTCGGTCCACACATGATCCGTCTTTTGAGACGTCTCAAAACACTCGGTCCACACATGATCCGTCTTTTGAGACGTCTCAAAACACTCGGTCCACACATGATCCGTCTTTTGAGACGTCTCAAAACACTCGGTCCACATATGATCCGTCTTTTGAGACGTCTCAAAACACTCGGTCCACACATGATCCGTCTTTTGAGACGTCTCAAAACACTCGGTCCACACATGATCCGTCTTTTGAGACGTCTCAAAAGCATGCACCTCTGCTTGGCGTACGATGGGCACTCGGTCCACACATGATCCGTCCAATCCAATCCACTGCCTGCCATCGCCACCATACCCACAAACCAACCACCTTGTCCCACCACCATTGAAACCCATCGCACAGACCTCTGCTTGGCATGTGAGTAGCACTCTGCTTGGCATGTGAGTAGCACTCTGCTTGGCATGTGAGTAGCACTCTGCTTGGCATGTGAGTAGCACTCTGCTTGGCATGTGAGTAGCACTCTGCTTGGCATGTGAGTAGCACTCTGCTTGGCATGTGAGTAGCACTCTGCTTGGCATGTGAGTAGCACTCTGCTTGGCATGTGAGTAGCACTCTGCTTGGCATGTGAGTAGCACTCGGCTTGGCATGTGAGTAGCACTCTGCTTGGCATGTGAGTAGCACTCTGCTTGGCATGTGAGTAGCACTCTGCTTGGCATGTGAGTAGCACTCTGCTTGGCATGTGAGTAGCACTCTGCTTGGCATGTGAGTAGCACTCTGCTTGGCATGTGAGTAGCACTCTGCTTGGCATGTGAGTAGCACTCTGCTTGGCATGTGAGTAGCACTCTGCTTGGCATGTGAGTAGCACTCTGCTTGGCATGTGAGTAGCACTCTGCTTGGCATGTGAGTAGCACTCTGCTTGGCATGTGAGTAGCACTCTGCTTGGCATGTGAGTAGCACTCTGCTTGGCATGCGAGTAGCACTCTGCTTGGCATGTGAGTAGCACTCTGCTTGGCATGTGAGTAGCACTCTGCTTGGCATGTGAGTAGCACTCTGCTTGGCATGTGAGTAGCACTCTGCTTGGCATGTGAGTAGCACTCTGCTTGGCATGTGAGTAGCACTCTGCTTGGCATGTGAGTAGCACTCTGCTTGGCATGTGAGTAGCACTCTGCTTGGCATGTGAGTAGCACTCTGCTTGGCATGTGAGTAGCACTCTGCTTGGCATGCGAGTAGCACTCTGCTTGGCATGTGAGTAGCACTCTGCTTGGCATGTGAGTAGCACTCTGCTTGGCATGTGAGTAGCACTCTGCTTGGCATGTGAGTAGCACTCTGCTTGGCATGTGAGTAGCACTCTGCTTGGCATGTGAGTAGCACTCTGCTTGGCATGTGAGTAGCACTCTGCTTGGCATGTGAGTAGCACTCTGCTTGGCATGTGAGTAGCACTCTGCTTGGCATGTGAGTAGCACTCTGCTTGGCATGTGAGTAGCACTCGGTCCACACATGGTCTGTCAAATTCACTGCGCCGCCGTACCCACCACGTATCCCCACCCACCTTTACCCACCACGTATCCCCGCCCACCCTTACCCACCACGTATCCCCACCCACCCTTATCCACCACTAAACCCACTGCACGGACCTCTGCTTGCCATGCGAGTAGCACTCAGTCCACACATGGTCCGTCCAGTCCACTGCCTGTGGGTATCACATGCACATACAGGCATTTCCGAAGTGCGAAACATGGAATTGTTCCATCCATGATCCATCCATCGATGCGTACACATATGCACACACACGCTCACAAACATGCAGAATATGAATGAAGACACAAAAAAATTTCCGAGACTAAATGGGAGTGTGTTTTGAGGATTCTTAGGGTGACTATAATGGAGCAGAACTACAGGGTGACTAAAATGGAGCAGAACTACACCACACCAGCTAGCGCAGCCACAATCACTTGCATCCGATCCATTATCTTTTCCACACACCTGCCTGGCATCGCTATTGTCACATCTGCCTGCATGGCATCAGTATAGCCACAACACACACACACACCTTCCTGGCATCACTATAGTCACACCACATGCACCTGCCTCGCATCATAGCCCAGCGCCCGGCAGCAGAGGGTGAAGGCGGTGCTTTTCAAAAGTGACACATGGATGACCTCGCTATAGTCACATCCCTATAGTCACACGTGCCAGGCATCAAATTCAACCTATCACACACACCTGTCTGGCATCATAGCCCAGAGCCCGGCAGCAGAGAGTAAAGGCGTTGGCCCACTCGCCACAGCGCCCCTCCCTCGTGTCCAGAAGCTGTGTGGCGGAGTGAGGGGAGGGAGGGAAGAGAAGGGAAGGAGGGGAGAGCAGGACGAGTGTGGTTGAACTCGGCCTGCCCACTCACCACAGCGGCCCTCCCTCGTGTCCAGAAGCTGTGTGGCGAAGTGAGGGGAGGGAGGGAAGAGAAGGGAAGGAGGGGAGAGCAGGACGAGTGTGGTTTAACTCGGCCTGCCCACTCACCACAGCGGCCCTCCCTCGTGTCCAGAAGCTGTGTGGCGAAGTGAGGGGAGGGAGGGAAGAGAAGGGAAGGAGGGGAGAGCAGGACGAGTGTGGTTTAACTCGGCCTGCCCACTCACCACAGCGGCCCTCCCTCGTGTCCAGAAGCTGTGTGGCGAAGTGAGGGGAGGGAGGGAAGAGAAGGGAAGGAGGGGAGAGCAGGACGAGTGTGGTTTAACTCGGCCTGCCCACTCACCACAGCGGCCCTCCCTCGTGTCCAGAAGCTGTGTGGCGGAGTGAGGGGAGGGAGGGAAGAGAAGGGAAGGAGGTGAGAGCAGGACGAGTGTGGTTTAACTCGGCCTGCCCACTCACCACAGCGGCCCTCCCTCGTGTCCAGGAGCTGTGTGTGTGATGGAGGGAAAGGAAGGGGAAGGGAGATGGAGGAAGAGGGGCAACTTTTGGAGGGGACAGCTCAGCCCTGCCCAGAGCAGAGGGTGAAGGCGTTGGGCCACTCGCCACAGCGGCCCTCCATGGTGTCCAGGAGCTGGAGAATGGTGGAGCGGGGGGGGGGGAGGTGGGGGGAAGAAAAGGGGAGGACAAGGATGGGCGACCATAATCCGCAGGTGGGACAAGTCAGCCCAGCGCACGGCAGCAGAGAGTAAAGGCGTTGGCCCACTCGCCACAGCGGCCCTCCTTGGTGTCCAGGAGCTGGATGGCTAGAGTGAAGGGAAGAATGAGAAGGGGAGGAGGAAAAGAAGAGGGAAGAAGTGCGGATGTGAAAGAGCTCAGCCCTGCCCACAGTGGCATGAAGAGAGAACGGTTCATACGGAGGACCTGACAGGTCAGACAGAGGAGGGACAGAGGAGGTGACACGTCAGACAGAGGTGATACGTCAGACTGAGGAGGTGACACGTCGGACTGAGGTGGCAAGGCAGTAGTGGATGGGTATGGAAGACCATTGATGGCAGATTTGACTGATCGGACTGAACAGTTGGAAGCAATCACGCACCCCTGTTGAGCGCACTGCAAGAGACGAGTACTCAGCTGAGAAAAGCACCTCTTTGAGAGCATTGTCCAATTTTAAGGCGCCTCAAAAATAGTGAGTTGCACGCCTGTCCCTGTGCCTCGTTTCGAAGCCATTCGAACGCCTCGTTGTGCCTCCGTGCGACTTACCTTGGCAGGGTCGTTGTACCGCACGAAGTGAGCCACAGTGACTGCCCCATGTCACTGTCACCTGCCACTGTCACATGTCACTGTCCCATTTCACTGTCACCTGCCACTGTCACATGTCACTGTCCCATTTCACTGTCACCTGCCACTGACTGAGCCTCCGTGCGACTTACCTTGGCAGGGTCGTTGTATCGCACGAAGCGAGCCACCGTGCCGCACTGCTTGCACCTGAGAGCTCCCAACAAGCAAGCACGCCCTCACTGCTTGCACCTGTGTGGCTGTGCCTGTGCCTGAGTCCCGCTACTGCGCCTGTATGTCTGTGTATGTACCTTGGCAGGGTCGTTGTATCGCACGAAGCAAGCCACCGTGCCACACTGCTTGCACCTGAGAGCTCCCAACAAGCAAGCACGCCCTCACTGCTTGCACCTGTGTGGCTGTGCCTGTGCCTGAGTCCCGCTAGTGCGCCTGTATGTCTGTGTATGTACCTTGGCAGGGTCGTTGTATCGCACGAAACGAGCCACCGTGCCGCACTGCTTGCACCTGCCAGTCCACACCAGAGACACAGCCATAGCCGGATAATCAGATACAGGGGACGGGAGGGGGGGGATATTTAGGGAAAGAACTCTCGAACAGGTCATCAGTGGAAGGTGCGAAGTTGCCGTGGAAGGCACAGGTGGGTGAGGGTGCAACAGCGGGAGCACTTCTCTCACTCGAGAAACCATGCGTGACACAAACCCTTCCTTCCCCCATTCCTCCCCTCACCTGTGTAACTCTACCCGCTCTCCCCCCCAGAGCAGGTCCTCGTTCGAAGGAGTGCCGCTGCCATGGAAGGCACACGTAGGGGTGCGGCAGCGGGGGCACGGCGGGGAGTCCAACCATCTGCATGGGGAGGGGAGAGGGAGAGGGCAGTGACAGGGGCCAGGGAGGATGAGCTGAGGGAAGGACGAGACAAGGTTATGGCGAGGTGGGGAGAAGGGAGTGGAAAGGAAATGGATATGATGATGGTGACAGGAAATGAGGATCGATGGGGAATACAAGCAGGTTCTTGACAAGCTTGCTGCATTGATTTACCCCGAGCCAGGTGAAATTGTGAAAGAGGAATCATCTAAACCAGCCCTGCAATCACCTGAACCAGGATTTGAACCAGACCAGTAGCTTGATGAATAACCACGTGAAATGAGGGAGATGAATAGCAGCTTGACACGTTCTCAAAAACACCCTCAGTTCACCCAGCATTGCAATCACCTGAACCGCACTGCAATCACCTGAACCGCACTGCAATCACCTGAACCAGGATTTGAACCAGACCAGCAGTTGTCTCAACACAGCGTCACGAAACTCCCCTTCTGACGGCTGGTACTGGCCTTGCTGCAGTGGAGAAGGAATGGTGATGGTGACAAGGAAAAAGAAGGGAAAAGACTAAGAGTGCCAGTCGCACGGGCAGAGGGTCCTTCCAAGCCATTCATCCTCTTCGTACTCACACCCGCTGCCGTCTTACACCCAGCAGCAGAACACTGTTTTACAAAATTAGCAGACTTCTTACCAGTTCATCTATGGCATCTGGCAGGATGAAGACAAAGGAGACTTTTGAGTCGACTCAAAAGTCACCTTGAGTCGACTCAAAAGTCACCTTAAGTCGACTCAAAAGACACCTTGAGTCGACTCAGAAGTAATTTCTTGCCAGTTCATCTATGGCATCTGGTAGGATGAAGACAAAGGACCATAGAATAGCATAGGGATGAGCAAGGGGCGAACACGAACGTGTTCGCGTTCGCCCCTGCACGAACACCGCCGTTTGGCGAACCGAACAGTGTTCGGTTCGCCGAACAGCTTTAGCAAAAAAGGGTGTTCGCCGTTCGCCAGTGAAGGCGAACATCTTGTTGACGCAGGCGAACACGTACGTGTTCGTGGCAAACACGTTTGTGTTCGCCCTGGGACTACATTCACTAAAGTCACACGTTTGTAGATTGTGCATTGTTGACATTCTTTAAGTGGCGGTAAGGTCCAAACAGAGTAAAATTCAAATCGTTGCACATTCCCTCCCACCACCCCCCAAGCCAGTCCCGCCCTGCTTCATCCATGCTACTGCCAGCGTGTGATGGCGAAATGCTAGATCTGCACTTAAGCAAAGGCGAAATGCTCGATCTGCACTGCGAAATGCTAAATCTGAGCCCAAAAACCAAGGCCCGCGACCTACAAATTGGCCGCGGGCCTATTCGTCGACGAACACATTGGTGTTTGTCGAAGGCCTCAGCCAGCTGAGCCGGGCGAACGGCGAACGTGTTCGGGCGAACACCGAACACGTTCGCCCTGAACAATTTAGGCCAAAAAAAAATCGTTCGAGGCGAACCGAACAGGAGTTCGTTATATTGCTCATCCCTAGCATAGCACAGCACAGCACAGCAAGGACCAGAACGGCACAGAACGACACAGAACGGCACAGAACGGCACATAGCGGCACAGAACGGCGCAGAACGGCACAGAACGGCGCAGAACGGCACAGAACGGTATACAGCACAGGACAGGACACAACAACATTGGAAAGAATGGCTCAACCCAACCGAACCGACCCGACCCGACCCGACCCGACCCGACCCGACCCGACCCGACCCGACCCGATCCGACCCTACACGGATTTACACCCATGCCTACTGAGGCGAACATTGGCAAGGAAGTTGCAGCAGCCTCCTCCAGCTGGTACAGGGGAATGAGGCAAAAACTGACTCGAACCAACCTGACCCAACCCGACCCGACCCGACCTCATCCACCCAAACCGAACCAACCTGGTCAGGACCTATGACCATTACCATGCCTACTGAGGCGAACCTTGGCAAGGGAGACTGCAGCGACCTCCTTGAGCTACCACCGGAAAACGAGGAAAACCCCCAACCTGCCCCATCCAAGTTGGATTGAGAAAGACCTCACCCAGCCCCACCCCGACCAATGAGCATGCCAATGCCTACTGAGGCGAACCTTAGCAAGGGAGACTGCAGCGGCCTCCTCCAGCTGCTGCAGGGGAATGAGGCGAACACCCAACCCACCCCGCCCAACCACACCTCACCCAACCCCTCCCCGACTCTACCTCACCCGACCAGACCCGACCAGACCCGACCAGACCCGACCAGACCCGACCAGACCCAACCCGACCCAGGCAAAGATACCATGCGTGCCTACTGAACCTTACCTTAGCAAGCGAGGCACCTCGAGCGGCTGCAGGGCAGGGGAATGAGCCAAAACCTGACCTGACCCAACCCCACACAATCTCACCCAACCCCGACATATAATCACGCCCCATAGCAACTGAGGCGAATCTTAGCAAGGGAGACCGCAGCCTCCTCCAGCTGCTGCAGGAGAATGAGGCGGACCCTGACCCCACCCCACCCCACCTCACCAAACCGCTCCCCGACCTATATTGACCATGACCCATGCCCACTGAAGCGAACCTTGGCAAGGAAGACTGCGGCTGCCTCCTCCAGCTGCTGCAGGAGAATGAGGCGGACCCTGACCCCACCCCACCCCACCTCACCAAACCGCTCCCCGACCTATATTGACCATGACCCATGCCCACTGAAGCGAACCTTGGCAAGGAAGACTGCGGCTGCCTCCTCCAGCTGCTGCAGGGGAATGAGTCAAACCCTGACCTGCCCAACCCCACACAACCTCACCCAACCGGGACGTATGACCACGCACCATAGCAGCTGAAACGAACCTTGGTAAGGGAGACTGCAACTGCCCCCTCCAGCTGCTGAAGGGGAATGAGCGAGGTCCCCGTTCGACCCGACCCGACCAGTCTCGATCCCGACTTATGACCATGCCCCTGCCCCATGCCTACTGAGGCGAACCCTACCTTGGCAAGGGAGACTGCAGCGACCTCCTCGAGCTGCTGTAGGGGAATGAGCGAGCGCGCCTTGGTTTGGCGAGATGGGTCCTCGTACTGATGGGGTGTGGTGAAGGGAAGAGAGATGAGGGATGCGGGAACAGGAGGTAGGTAGGCAGATGAAGGGACTTTTGAATCGACTCAAAAGTCACCCCTGCGGCTGCTGAAGGGGAATGAGTGAGCGTGCCTTGGCCTGGCTGGCGGGAAGGGTTGACACGGGTCCCCGTACTGGTGGGGTGTGGTGTGGAGGGGAATGAAGGAACAAGAGTGGGATGAGGGAATGACAAGACGGCAAAGAGGGCATGGGAGGGGAAATGAAGGAGTAGGTCGATCGGTGCCTGAAGGGGAATGAGAGAGCGTGCCTTGGCCTGGCGTGATGAGTCCTCGTCGTACTGGTGGGGATGTGGTGTGGTGTGGTGGGGGATGGATGAAGGAACAAGAGTGATATGAGAGAAAGGCGGCATGGGAGATGAAATGAAGGAGGGAGCCAAGGCATTGGCCTGGCGCGGTGAGTCCTCGTCGTACTGGTGGGGATGTGGTGTGGAGGGGGATGAGGGAAGAGGGAGAGGAGAGGGGATTATAGGAACGGGAGTTGATGCAGGAAGGAATGCAAGGAGGGCAAAGAGAGCATGGGAGGAGAAATGAAGGAGGGGGTCGGTGCCTGCAGGGGACTGAGCGAGCGTGCCTTGGCCTGGCGTGATGGGTCCTCGCCTCGTACTGGTGGGGTGTGGTGTGTGGATTGCGGATGGAAAGGGGATGAGAGGAAGATACAGAAGCGGGACCTAGAAGAGGTAAAGAAAAGGGGCTCAACTCGTGCACGGAAATGAGCTAGGTCTTGACATGCACAGAAACTAGTGGTGCTGCAGATTGTTTTTGAGAATTCTCAAAAACAATCTGCAGAATCTGGTTCAACTGGTGCTCGGAAATGAGCCAGGTGTTAACTTGCACAGAAACTAGTGGTCAACTTTTGATGGAATCACAGCGCAAGATAGTGCGCCGCACTGCACCACATCGCACCGCACTCCACTCACCTGCATGACATTGCTACAGAGTGACACCATTCACCCTTCAACGCCACCTGACCATTATCTCCTCACTAGCCACCCCTTGCTCGTCTCGCACACAACACAACACCTGGTCTGATGGTGCACCACATGGCACCGCGTTGCACCGCATTGCACTCCATTCACCTGCATGACATTGCTCCACAGTGACAGCAGTCGCCCCTCCAATGCTGCCTGACCGTGCTGCTGCTGTGGCGGCTGCTGCCTTCTCAGCTGCCCCCCTCTCATCTGCTGCAGCATGGTCTGCACGGCATGTGCCTCTGACTGCTGTATCTGCTGCACCACATGCCACCGCACTGCACTGCACTCACCTGCATGACATTGCTCCACAGCGACAGCAGTCGCCTTTCTAATGCCGCCTGACCGTGCTGCTGCCCTCTCAGTTGCTGCTGCAGCATGGTCTGCATAGCATGTGCCTCTGACTGCTGAATCTGCTGCGCCAATGCTGCATCCTCCTCCTCCTGCTCGCATCACATGACATGCCATGACAAGAGGATGAACCATGACGTGACGTTTCATGCCATGCCATGCCATGCCATGACATGCCATGCCATGCCATGCCATGCCATGCCATGCCATGCCATGCCATGCCATGACCATATCATTCACCATGCCACGCCATGCCATGTGATGTGATAAAACGGCAAAGAGAAGTTTGCCAACAGGAGGGGGGTTATGAGCGGTGCAGTGGCATTTTGAGAATTCTCAGAAGCGGCCCAAAACATGCAGCGATGTGAACTGGTATCGGCTGGTGGTGGTGGGGTGCACAAGGTAATGAAAAAGACATGTGCAGACGCACAGTGAGCACATGAACATGTTGCATGCATCCACCAGAAAAAGCCCTGACATCATGGCATGCCACACAGGCGCCATCGCGAGCATACAGGAACACTGATACATACATACATACATATTGACATCCATACATGCTACATACATACCTGCAGTCGCCTAGTGAGTTCCTCATCGTCCTCCCTGCCACTCTCGCCCTCACCACCCTCCTTCCCCTCTGCTCCTTTCCCCCCTTTCTCGAGCGGTCCTTGTATTATATCCCCCCTTCTCTCCCTCCGTCCCCTCCCCCCCTTCCATACATCCATCCATCCCACATACCTGCAGTCGCCTTGCAGGCTCCGCATCGTCCTCTCTGCTGCTCTCCCCTTTACGCCCCTCCTCTACCCCTGCCTACTCCCCCCCTTCTCTCCCTCCGCCCCCTCCCCCGCCTCCATACATACCTGCAGTCGCCTTGCAAGCTCCGCATCGTCCTTCTTCCGCTCTCCCCTCCTTCCCCTCCGCTCCCTTCCCCCCCTTCTCTCCCTCCGCCCCCTCCCCCGCCTCCATACATCCATACATGCCGCATACCTGCAGTCGCCTTGCAGGCTCCGCATCGTCCTCTCTGCTGCTCATCTAATGGGTGCCAGTTAACGCATGCAGGAACGCTCATACATGCATGCATGCATTTTGACATCCCCACCACACACGCTACATACCTGCAGTCGCCTTGCAAGCTCCACATCGTCCACTCTGCTGCTCAATGGATGGGTGCCAGTTAATGCATGAAGGAACGCTGATACATGCATACATGCATACACATTGACATCCATATATGCTACATTTACCTGCAGTCGCCTTGCGAGTTCCTCATCGTCTTCCCTGCTGCTCTCCCCCTTACCACCCTCCTTACCCTCCTCCCCCGTCGCTTCAGTCTCTCTCTCCGCCCTTGTCGCCTCCTCCTTCTCCGCCATCTCCCCTTCCGCCCCTGGCTTCCCCCTATCATGCAGCACTAGCACCGTCCCATTAACCGGCAGGAGAGAGGCCAAATCAGCATGCGGCGAGGAGAGGTCAAGGGACGGGCCGGAGGAGAGGGAAAGCTGCGCAGGCGAATGGGAAAGGCGGTAAAAAATGTTAAATACGTTATAAGGTGCATCCAGATTGAATCGACATGTGGCAAGTGAGGAGTGGTCAAAGACAGGCCGGAGGAGAGGGAGAGCTGCAAGGGCGGAGGAGGGAGAAGAGCAGCGGCTGGTTAGTGGGGATGAGCTTACATATGAATGGGCAACTGGTCTTGTGACATAATTCTCAGCGAGCTGCAAACTTAGTCAGGCTACCTTACAGACCAGCTGGTAAGTGGGGATGAGCTTACAGATGAATGGGCATGAGGCGTGGAGAGGTCAAGGGACAGTCCGGAGGAGAGGGAGAGCTGCAAGGCCAACTCGCCCTGACAGGGCCGGATGAATCAAGTCGTTCAAATTGATTCATCTGATAAACTTAAGGGAGCTCCCCAACTCATTCCTAAAGAAACACTGATGCTCGACGTACCAATTGGTTCTCCGGCTCGACTCCTGTAAGCGAGAAGACTTGAATCTGCAACACCTGCACGAAAATGGACGGCCAGGGATGGACGGCAAGAGATGGACGGCCAGGGATGGACGGCAAGAGATGGACGGCTAGAGATGGAAGGCCAGGGATGGACGGCAAGAGATGGACGGCCAGGGATGAATTGGGAGAAAATGGGGAGTCAGCGGGGAGACGGGCGGAGGAGGTGAGGGGGGATGAAGTGTGGCATGATTCACATCGTGCAATGAAAGGGTGGTGCCGGCACATGCACCAGACCAGATAGGTCCGAGTGGGAATATGGATCTGCTGCTGGCTTGGGTGATTTCTGAGGTATAGCAAAAACAGAGGATTGAGGGTAAGCTAGTTGAGCTGGATGCATGAAAACAGTTGGAAACAGTTGGAAACAGTTGGAAACAGCTGGAAACAGCTGGAAACAGCTGGAATTAGCTGGAAACAGCTGGAAACAGCTGGAAAGAGTCGGAAACAGTTGGAGAATAGGCCCAAATCCGCCTCTCAATAAATTCCTTACAGGTACGACTATTGCATACCCTTCACCGAAGCATTATCGTTATCTCTCTCGTCTCATTCCTTAGAGAAACGAACAGCTCCAGCCCTCTCTCGACTGTGTCCTGTACCGACCCATCCACTTTCCCCCTTTGTGGTATATCTAGGTAACTTTCAGTTGACTAAATAGTCGATATCTCTCATCCCATCCCTCGGGAAGAGAAACAGTTCCAGCTCTCGCATCAGTCGGTCCTGTACCGACCCACCCATTTCTCTTGCGGTGTATCCAAGATGCTTGCTCTCTATCCCCTTCAAGCTCATCCCCATCCCGTATCACTATCCCTGCGTTCAAATGCTTCCCATTCCCCCTTTTCCGATCCATGCTTCCGTCGTCCCTACTTCCGTCATCCCTACTTCCGTCGTCCCTACTTCCGCCGTCCCTACTTCCGCCGTCCCTACTTCCGCCGTCCCTACTTCCGCCGTCCTTACTTCCGCCGTCCCTCCTATCCCGTCCCTCCTATCCCGTCCCTCCTGTCCCGCCCCTCTTTCCCACACCCCCCCCTATCGCCTCACCTCCACGCCCATGTCAACCTCCACTTGCACTTCAAACCGCTCCTCACCGAACACCACCGTCACCTCTCGCGCCGCCATCGCCGGTAGCAGCAACACCTGCCACGCGGAACGAGCCACGTGGCGCACCCGCAACTTCGGAGAGGCTACAGATCTCGACACGTGGCGCGCGACCGACCGCTGCCTGGGTGCTGCGAGCGACACGGAGGAAGGGCCGACACGTGGCTTCAGTAGATTTGACTGGAATCCAACTTCGTGCAATCTAAACCGCGCACTCCTAACACGTTGTTCTCTTGGAAAAGTCGGTACCCAGGCCGCGTCAACGTGGTGAGAGAGAGTGAGTGGAGGAGCGCGAGGCAGGTCCCTGGAGAGACCAATCGCCTCGAGTTGATATAGCATGCGGTACTCTGCCTTTCCGATGACAGCTGCTAGTCTCGGTGGTCGATAATAAAGACAAGTTGATGATGCGTCCCGTCGTCACGACACTTCACCGACTGTTATTCTCCCTACCTTGCTTGAACTGTAAGCTCCCTCACTGAACTGATCCGTGAGCCAATATGGCGCTCTACCTCACTCTGCACTCTTCACCATGAACAAGTCCGATGACACCAACTGAAGGTTTCCTGTGTGTGAGCAGCACTGCACCACACGATCTGTGCTTCCTGAAACAGAACGAAGCCCAGGACCATCATGTAACTATACTCACATTGAAAAGGAAAAGCAACATTCTTAGTCCGACTGGGCGTGGATGACCAACATCCCTGATCCCAGCCCAGCCGCGTCACCTATGTTCAATCCCAGCACCGACGCTACGGAAAATCGTTTTGTAGCGGGGACAAAAAGGGGAAAACCAAGGGTTTCGGTTAGGGACCGCACTAAAAATTGTCATAGGCACTTTCAACCGCGCCAAAAAACGATTCTGCGTCTGGGGATTGAACATAGGTGACGCGTCCTCTCTGGGCCAACTGCGGATGAGAGTTGTCTGCTGCAGGTCGCTGCAACAAGCCAAACAGGTCCGGAACTCTTCGCTCTCGCTAGTTACATGCGCAAGAATTATTTCGTCACATTGTGAGATCGTTTGTGTCAGCTAGAGTTCGGCCCCTGGGATTGTCGAGCCACTTTCTGTCAGTATGTGAATTTCGCGCCAAAACTAACCAAACCTTTCCAACGTCTCTCTGAAGCCAAACCAAAGCAGACCACACCACACCAAACCAACCGAACCGAACCCAAGCAACCAAGCAGAGCTCTTCATTTCCAACCAAAATTCTTGCTGGTTGACCCCGTCCTACCAAAATTCCTGCTGCATTTGCTGAAGTTCAACCACTCAGCAGTCAGCCATAACCCAGTGCACGGAAACCTGTTCTTGCATCAGTTTTCAAGACACTACTTATGACAATCGTTTACAGAGCTGTAGGCTCGCGATAGCGCGTGTAAAAATTGGCGGAGAAGTCTCAAGATGTAGCATTCTCAACATGCATTCGTGACGGAACCAGAAACAAGGTAATGTGGACCGCTGGAATCAAGTCGAAATTCCTAATCGATAGGCACTTCCTCGAGTATTGCCTGCACTTCTCTGTTCGATGTTAGATTCAAAATCCTAGCTGACCTTATTCACTGCGACTTTTGAGCGGTTACAAAATCAGGAAACTCTACTAATCGATAGGCACTTATTCAAGTTTTGACTGCTTTTGTCGCAATGGCGATCGAGGTAAAATTTCGAATCCCAACTGATTTAATGCGACGCGCATCAGACGGCATTAGAAATGACGACAGTAGCACAGAGGTTTGCACCATCCGTAGTGACGTCAGCAGTCATAGTGACGTCATCACCGGTAGTGACGTCATCAAAGGAAGCCACAAAAGCTCTTTTGTAAACGACTCATCCACATCATCCCACACTGTCGTCACCCTAACGGTTTCCCCTAAGGAACTTCTTGGGTCAGTCTTCAACAGACTGTTTCAGACTCATCTGCCACACTGCTGCTTACCATGCGAGACACGTCAGCAGCAGCAGGGAGCACTTGCTGGGGTGAAACCGGGAACGGATTATGTCGCTCGGCCACAGCAGCAGAAGCAGTCCGTCCGCTTCATGATTTTTGGGCAGGTATCGTACCTTTCCCCCCAGGCATCAATACAGCGAGCCAATCTTAAAACGGGTACAACCATCCTAGTGCTTCCGTTGAATGCAGGGGATCATGGAGAAGGCCTGGGTGAACCTGAATCAGCAGTCGTCATTGCAGCAGGTTTGAATGGTCCAGCTACGGCGCCTTCGGTGGACGTACCTGACATTGCTGCTAACGCTACTACTGCTCCCGCCCGTCGCATCGACTATAGCAAATGGGACCACTTGCAATCCAGCAGCGACGAGGAGGATGAGGATGAGAGGCGGGAGAAACAAGGAACAAAAGGAGTTAGAAGCAGTGGCGAGGGGAAGGACAAGGTCCAGATCTCTGCTGCTGCCAATGCCAGCACCTGCCTTCCTCGGCTTGTTGGAACAATATGGGACGACCTGACTCTTCAAAACCCTCAACATTTGACATGCATTCCCCAAGATCTGCCGATGATGGACAAGCGGAAAGGACGGGGACCAGAAAGGGCAAGGGCTGAGGAAGACTCAGAGAAGCTTCAGTTGCTGCGTCGGGCGGACATGGTTCACTACATAGACGTGAGGGACGCGTGGGGCGTGGCGGTGTGCGAGTGCTGCTTCGACCGCGCTGTGAGCCAGCGCACAAAGCACGCACTCATCATGACCAATCTCAAAGACTTCCGATATCACCTGCGAGAAACACAGCCTCTGTCCATCCCCCTCATCCCTAACAGTCCGACCCGGGCAGTGTATGACTTCTCGTTGAAGGTTCCCGTGCCAGAGGCAGCAGCGCGGCTGGGAGTGCCGCCTAACATGCACTTTCAACTCAAGTGTGATGTGGCCCCTTTGCTCTGTGCAGAAACGATGATTCTTGAGTGGATGGCTGAGCCTCGTGTGGGCGTGCTCATGGACCTGGGGAGGATCAGATCCTGCCTGCCTGACATTCTAAGTGACATTCCAAGTGACGCAGGCATACCTCTTGGTTCTGTCGCTATTATCACGAATGCTTTCCCTGCTGATGCAACTGCTGTCCCTGCTGCTTCTGATTTGCCTACATCGTGCTCCTGCTGCTGGCGCTGCAGCAGCTGCTGGGCTGCCTACCGCCGTGCTGTCAGCTTCGCTGCCTTCCTCGTGCTTGTAGCGAGGTGCCCGCGGTTTGTGACTCTATGCAGAGCGCATGCATCAACTTCCATGGCCTATCCACCCATCGTGAGTGCGCTAGGGGCACGCAGGCAGAGGGAGAAGGACGTTCTCGCTTCCATGCTGGTTCAGATTCTCGGGGTGAAGGAAAGCAGGGATTTGGAGGAAGGGTTTGGTGTTTTCATGCAGAATCTTCTTTCAGGCGGGCTGGAGAAGGCGCATGCAGAGAAGAAGGGGAGAGCAGGCAGGGGAGTTGTGGGAGGAAGCAAGGGTAAACGGCAGATGGAGAATGATGGGAGCTCCGAAGGGTCATCATGGGAAAGCATGGACGGTGGTGATGGGGGTGGGAGGGATGGGAAGGGTGGGCAGTGGAGGGAGCATCTGAAGGGACGTGTGTGGGAGAGGTATGTGGATGGCATGGCTTGGATTCTGGAGCGTGGAGGGGGGGGAGGGAAGGAGTTCAGGTGCAGCCACTGCAGTGAGGGGGGCAGCAGCAGTGGTGCCAGCAGCAGCAGCAATCTCGAAGGCACAGAAATTCCCAAGGGCATGTATGTGAGCGGCATGGGTGCGACTAACTTTGCCCTTTGCGTTGCTGCAGTGCTGTCCGCGCCACAGTACCGCACAGAGACCGATCTTTACTGTCAGGATGGGAACACTGCGAGCAAGACGTGGGTGGAGGATGCAGCTATTGAGACGGCCAGGGAGAGGCTGAGACGGAGGGCGCGGGGTGAAGGAGGGGCAGCAGGCGGAGGTGTAGGAACAGCAGCATCAACACTGCAAGCAGCATCGGCATCAGCACCTGCAGTGGCAGCAGGAGCAGTTTCTCCCAGTGGTGCTGCTCGGGTGGGAGTGGGACTCGTGCCTGTGAACACAAACCCAGTGATTGCAGTTTTCACGTATCGTGCTGCCTGCATTCTGCAGTGGGCCCGCACCTATGGGTCTGAAATCATCCCCGCTAGCCAATGCTGCAAGGACAGCCCCCAGGGGAAAGTCCTGCCCATGCGTCACCCGCTTCGGGACCTTCCGAGCCTGCTGGTCAGGCTCGGTGCCATTCCCAAGCCTGTGGACCAAGGCAGCTTCTCCTGGGAGTGGGAGGAGTGGCCTCGGGGCGATGAAGCTGCTGCGAAGCTTCCTGATGACCCGAGCGCGAAATTCTTTCAGCTGGGAATCGTGGAGGAAGCGAGTGGGACAGCAGGGGAGCATGGGGCAGGAGGAGAGACGGGCGGACAGAATCTATCTGGGCAGGGGTCAAGTGCAGGAGGCAAGACTGGGACCGTGAGGGGGGAGGGAGGAGACAAAGGGAGGGGCAAGCGGGAGGGGAGGACCAGAGGGCGTGGGGGAGAAGAGAGGGTTCGAGGTGTGGAGTGTGACTTAGACGAGAGGCTGCTGCAGCAGCTGCTAACAAAGCTGCTGCCGCTAGTGCAGAGGCAATACCCCATCGTTCGCTGCACTGCCGATGCCGAGTTTGTAGTGGAATTTGCCGAGCATCTGGTCAAGCCACCTGCATGCACTCACTGCAAGCCCTGCCTTGCTGTCTACAGCCGTAGCATCCCCTTCCTCACGCTCATCGCCAACTACGCCTACCGACCTGCCTCCATCCTTTTCAACCGCTTTGTATCCATCTTCCCGCCTCTCTCTCCCGAATTCGACCGGGTCGCTGCTCGTATGGGCGTGCCGCCTTTCCCTGCCAGCGTGCCTGGCTTTCTAAGGTCGGCTCTGCTGCAGACGCAGGCAGAGCTGGATCCTGTGCTCTTCCTCTTGGCCGTGGCTCCTAAATGGGCCGCTCCCATCCTGGGAATCACCGACCGGAAGGACCTACACAGGCTGCGAGACGGAGAGGAAGCGGACGGGAGGGTGTGGGAGGAGGTGCGGATGTGGTGGCTGGCGGTGGAGTTTGCATGGCAGGGCAGCATGCAGCGCGAGGCCGAGGCATTGAGTGACACGTGCCAGGGAGGAAAGGAGCGGGCCGGAAGGGATGGAGCGCAGGGAGAGGAGGTTACGAGTGACAAGTGGCGTGAGCTGTGGAAAAGGGCTGCCAAACCCAGGTTCTGTGAAGACATTGAAAGCGAGAGGTGGGTTTCTGAAATTACCGGTGGGAGCAGCAACCGCAGCGACGACAGCTTCGGAAGCAGCAGCTGTAGTCGCGGAAATGACAGTAACAGTGGGAATCGATGGACTAGGGGGGATGATGGCAAGGGCAAGCAGGGGATGATGCCGTCCTACTCCTGCCGTCCTACTACTGCCGTCCTACTACTGCCGTCCTACTACTGCCGTCCTACTACTGCCGTCCTACTACTGCCGTCCTACTACTGCCGTCCTACTACTGCCGTCCTACTACTGCCGTCCTACTACTGCCGTCCTACTACTGCCGTCCTACTACTGCCGTCCTACTCCTGCCGTCCTACTACTGCCGTCCTACTACTGCCGTCCTACTACTGCCGTCCTACTACTGCCGTCCTACTACTGCCGTCCTACTACTGCCGTCCTACTACTGCCGTCCTACTCCTGCCGTCCTACTACTGCCGTCCTACTACTGCCGTCCTACTCCTGCCGTCCTGCTCCCGCCGTCCTTCCGTCGTCCCTACTTCCGCGGTCCCTCCTTCCCACACCCCCCCATCGCCTCACCTCCACGCCCATATCGACCTCCACACTTCCAATTTGAACCGCTCCTCACCGAACACCACCGTCATCTCTCGCGTCGCCATCGCCGGTAGCACGAACACCCGCCGGGCTGAACGGGCCACGTGGCGCACCCACAACTTCGAAACTCATGGACGCCGATTCTGGCTTTCCCCGCTGTTGGTCCAGGCAGTCAACGGACCCTGAGGCGTACAGGGAGGAATACGCTCGCCTGCAGGCCGCGTTACCAGCGGCGTTGCCGACGGACCCAGAGGTGTTGGAGGAATTGGGGAACGCTGGGCGGTGGATTGACCAGCAGTGGTCCCCGTTCGCTTGCTCTGTTCAACGCATCACTCCTGGGTAGGATCCGCTTTGAGCCTTCCCAAAACAAGGTCCCACCGTCCCACGCATCAACCCCTTGTCTCACAACACATGCGGGAACACTGTTCAACGCATCACCCTTGGCCAAAGGTCGTTTTGGGACTCTAAAACGATGGTCCCTTACGTCACCTTGTTTCGACCTTATTATTCAGATTTTCAAATTGTACAAGCCTCGATGGCGCAGTCGGTAGCGCGTAGGTCTCATAGCAATTCCGACTCCCACACTGCTGGGCGGAGCCATCCTAAGGTCGTGAGTTCGATCCTCACTCGGGGCATTTGTTTTTCTCGGTGGTAATTGCTAGTGGCAGCGATGAAAGCGCATCAGGGGTGCCGGTAGCAATGACAGCTAAAGCTAGTGGTTATTGCGAACCATTTCTCGCTTTTATTCTTCGCCTGTTCCCTTCGCCTTTTCCCGCCTCCCCAACCACGCAAACCCTCTCCCCTCGTAATCAGCTCCAGCACAGGCAGAGAGAAGCATCAGAGGTGCCATGAGGGTTTAGAACTGGAAGGAGGGAGAGGAAGAGGGGAGTAAGGGGACGGGGTGGAAAGTAGGGATGAAGGACTGGGAAGCTGAAGGAGAGGAGAGGACGATTTTTGAGGCGCCTCAAAAATAGCTGAAGGAGAGGAGAGGACGATTGCACAAGAGAGGAGAGAGAAGGGGGAAGTAGCAGCAGGGGTGGGAAGGTGGAGGAATGGAAAAAGGGCTGTGCTGGCAGCTATGGCGTTGGAGGCAGCACAGAAGGTGCTGCCACGTGTCAAGCAGGGATTGGAGCACCTGCGGGATGGGGAATGGTGGGGATGGAGACGTGGCGTGGCCGCAGGGGTTGGTGCAGCATGAGAGGGTGTCTGGCGGCTGGGTGTCAGTTGATGGGGAGAACACACTTAAAGCCAGGGTCTCACGTACTACGAGTGCTTTGCAGTTGACAGTGCAAGTTTGTTTGTGATTGGCTAACGAGTTGTGAAGTTTGAAGAGGGGTGAAGCGAGGGGTACGAAACGAATCCAAATCGCTAGGTGTAGCCGAACCTCCTAGGTTTGGAGAATCGGTTCGGATCCAAACCTAAAATGCCCCAAACTCGTCGAAAGTCTCACGTACTCAAAACTTGTTGTGCAATTGCTTTTGAGACACTGACGGGAATAGGTTTCCAAAACAACCAAAGAGAAATTCGCCTGCACTAACGAGGTAACCTACCTTCGCCTGCCTACGAGTGCTTTGCAGTTGATGGCTGCTTTGCTTACTTGAGACCCTGGCTTTAATGAGATGGTGAGGTGTTCAGATGGGTGTGGGGTGGTTCAACTGAATGAATGCTCCCAGCTCAGTCCATGCCATGGGTGTGTGGTGGCTGGGTGTCAGCTGATTGGAAGAATTCACCCAATGGACGAGTTTTGGAAAAACTCGTCCTAAATGACGATCGATGGATTTACACTTCAGCCGAAAAGTTGGTTTTTGAGAAAACCGAAAAAATCTCAAAAACCGACGAGCAATGGAAGAATTTACACTTCAGCCGAAAATTTAACTTTCCTGGCAAGTTTTGCTGGGCTGAGGGGGTATTTGAAGAAAGGAGGTGGGTGGAAGATAAGGCAGGGTCTGTTGGTGAATTTCACATAAGCTCCTGAGACATGAATGGTGATAAAAAAAAAAAAAAAAAGTGTTTCTTGGCTGTGCTAAACCGCCTCCTGTTTCAACCACCATAAAATACATGTTCCTGATGAACACATGCTCTCACCCACACATCCCATGCGCTGTCTCAGGTCAGCCCAAGTCGGCAAGGATGGCGGAAAAACTGGAGCATGTTGGACTCACAGGCTGATGTGCAATTCGGCAGCAGGCATCAAACTTGAGTGTTTCCGATCAGCCCAACCAAGCAAACCTCGGAGACTCTGTTCAGGTACGGATATGCTGCAGCAACTCTGTTTGGGTACAGTGCTGCCCCAAAACTCTGTTCAGGCTACCAATCCAAAACTAGACTTATGAAGGCATGTACCTTGTTATGCAGCTATGCATTCCCTGTGGGTGCCCGTTTCTATATAGAATTGCACATTTGCATCTAAACCGCCTGTTTATTGCATATTGTTCCTGTTAGGTCCTTCCTCTTTTGCATTTGTGATCTTTGACAAAATGTCAAACAAAATCAGGTTGATTCCGGCTTTCAAAATGGCAGGGGTACGTAACATCTGCGGTGACTATCACATGTTCCTCTTTTTTCTCTCTCTCTCTCTCTTTTGTTTTTTTTGTTTTTTTTTTTGTTTTGTTTTGTTTTTTTTTTTTTTTGTTTTTTTTTTTTTTTGTAGATGGTTGCTCGGACCATTCTCCTCACTCCCTTCAATCGTCTCGCAGGCTGGTCATCTCAGCTGTCGGGGACCTGTCCTGCAGCTGCCTTCAGCTCTCCTGCCCTGACCTTTACACTGCACGCCAGCAGCCTCTGCAAACAAGTAATCAGAATACACCCACAGGCACAGGAATTCCGGACAGCAAAAGTCAAGCTGTCAATAACGAAGAAGTATCAATGCGTCAGCAATGAAGCCACCATGGTCCATCACCAGTGGTTACTGCAGCAGCCGCTGCAGCGGCAGCAGCAGCGCGAGGGCAATTTGTTGTGGCAGTACGTGAAGAGTTCCAGCAGCTGGTGGTGGAAGAGAAGGTTCCTGCGAACGAGGCAGCTGGGAAAGCTCTGAAGCATGTGCAGGAGGGGCTGAGTCAGGGTAAAATATGAGCATGCCGGACCACAACCTTGATGCTGCAGATTGAATGAGAAAAGACAATGATTTTGTGCTACACGACTTATTGATGTCTAGTTTGTATGTTATAACAAAAAAATGCTCAAAACAATCCTCTACACTCAGTTCAGCCCGGGATCAGTGCACTTCTATTCATTTCCCAGGTATGGACTGTGGCATATATTCTGCTTGAGGAAATCCAACCACATACGGTACCGAAGCAATACCTCCCTTTAGTAAACCTTGACACATTCTCAACTGTGACCATCATGTTCAAACTGACTGCATCACTTATGTGGAATTTCATTATTTCAAACACCCTTAGTGTACGCACCGCACCGCACCGCACCGCATCCTCAGCTTCTCCAGCATTGAACATACGGTAGGTCCTTTGCTGAGACTGTCCTTTGGAGATGCAGTGGAAGAAGGTCTTAGCTGTTTCTTTTGCCAGAGATTCCTTAGCTGCAGCCTTCATCTCTGAAAATAAAGAAACGGTACATTGAAGGCCGAGCAGGCGAAAACGCAACGCAAGCAATCTCAAACTGGTCGGAAGGGTGCCGAGAAATGAGGTTCATCAGATCTTGTGAACAGTACTGGAAATACGTACAAGGCAAGTGTTGGGCTGAGATAGCCCTTAGGATCTTTGCAGGGGTAAATTCGGGGTAGGATAATTGTAATAGCGGAAGCGTTTAATGAAGAACTTGTGAACCACCTTGCGCTGGTATGTGAGGGCAAAGTAAGTTGATTAAAGCAAAGAGATACAAGCATATATAAATGAGTACAAAGAATATGAAAGGATGCGGTTGTAACTACTTTACTGTTGCTGTTGCGGTTCGATACAGTGACGACTCGGGCAACCGCTCTGTAACGAGTCGGTTGTGTGTCCTTGCTGTCGTACTGTACTTGTCAGGTCAAAGGTCGCTGACCTTTGACTTTCGCGTAACCTCCGGCAACCTCTTTCAACCTCCGAGGGTTGACTCGCGTGTGCCTCGTTATGGTTCGCCTCGCTTCTGGTGCGTTGTTTCGACACGACAGAGGCGCTTTAGGATTTACTGTTTCCAACAGCAAGGAGACACAGCTGAAGTTCCATGCAGCCTTTGCAATCCCATCTTATTGTGCTGCATGCGAGCTAGTTTAATGAATTGGATACCTGAAGGACCTTGAGGATGTTGGAAACAGTAAATCTTAAGCGCCTCTGTCATGTCGAGACATTGCACCAGAAGCGAAGCGAACCACGTTGAGGCACACGCGAGTCAACCCTCGGAGGTTGAAAGAGGTTGCTGGAGGTTACACGAAAGTCAAAGGTCAGCGACCTTTGACCTGACAAGTACAGCGCGACAGCAAGGACACACAACTGACTCGCTACAGAGCAGTTGCCCGAGTCGTCACTGTATCGAACCGCAACAGCAACAGTAAAGTAGTTATAACCGTATCCTTTCATATTCCTTGTACTCATATATAAATGCTTGTATCTCTTTGCTTTAATCAACTTACTTTGCCCTCACACACTAGCGCAAGGTGGTTCACAACTTCTTCATTAAACGCTTCCGCTACTACAATTGTCCTACCCCGAGTTTACTCCTGCAAAGATCCTAAGGGTTTTTCTCAGCCCTACAGAGGAAAGCTCATTGCACGCAAACAGAAACTACGGTAGATGATGCCATAGCTGTTGCAGATGCCCACTCTCACCAGCAATGAATGCTGACATATACGGTACCGTATTTCAACTTGAATATCTAGAAAACACGGGTGCGATTTTTAGTCTCCAGTCACAGTTCTGAAATTCGTAGCAGTCACTTGTTGTCACGAAACCTGTGCAGGTCCAGAAGAGAGAAGGGCAGCGGGGGCATGGAGAAGAGAAGGAAAAGCATGCATTTAGAAGCATGCATTTAGAAGCATGCATTTAGAAGCATGCATTTAGAAGCATGCATTTAGAAGCATGCATTTAGAAGCATGCATGATCACTTGGACAAAAGGAAACCAATACACATGTATGGAATTTTTTCACCTGCCCCAGCCATGTGGCAGGCAATTGCTTTGCATTGCCCCTTGTTTGCTGGTCTGTGGAGAACTCGATCACCACTCCTCTCCACCCCTCTCCACCACTCAG